AGGGAGGGCAGGGGAAGGGGGAAAAATAAGAACCAAGAGAGATTATGTAAAGGTGCAAATTTCCAATGATGAATGTCATTCTATTGTATACCTAAAATGTACGGATAAAAGGATATAGAGTTAAAAGAGAAAGTATTTCAGGTACATAGGGATAAGTTGCTGAATTAGCTTTTGGTCACTAGAACCTGTTACCCACAATTTAAAGGAGAAAGGGTTTTGTATTTGTGACACCCGGGATCCAGCTCAGAGGTACTCTTATCCCTGAGCTATATCCCCATCCCCTTTTATTTTTTACTTTGAGACAGGGTCTTGCTAAGTTGCCCAAGTAGAACTCAAACTTTCCAACTCCTGCCTCAGCCTCCCTCAGGGCTAGGATTACAGACAGTCACCCCACCCTCACAGTTCAGATTTATTTTTGCTCACAGTTTCAGAGGTTTGAGTCCATGGCTTGCTGGCTCTAAGGCAGGAATATCATGGTGGAAGGCTGTGGAGGACCAGAGCTTCCTGCTTCAGGGTAAAGAGAAGTACAACCCAGGGGAGGTGCCAGCGAGAGATACACCCTGCAAGCACGGGCCCCAGCTCCCAACAGCACATTCCACTAGCCCCAGCTGGTCATCCAATCACCTCCCTGGAATCTCTTAATCATGTCATGCTGCCAATTGGGGCTAAGACACCACAGGTGCCAACACAGCACCCACTTGGAGACCCACAGCATGAAGGGGAACAATTGGTCAAGACAAGAAAAAGCTGTGGCTGGAGTCATTCAGTTCAGAGCCGTCTAGTTTGAAAAGGGTGAGATTGTTGAGAATTTATGGGGACACACGGAAGTGGTGAGAAGTCTGAAGGAATCTCCCCTGTTTAGGGACTGACACAGGAAAATCTGGAGGAGAGGAAGGAGGATGGATTAGAGGTGGGGTGGGACCCCATGCAGAGTGAATTCTGGAGATGACATGCAGGCTGCCATAAGAAGGAGCGTGATCAAGAGGGTTAATTGACAGTTTGCATGGTGTAAGAACCACAAAGGCTTGTCTTAGCGTGTTTCCTGCTGCTGTAAAAGAACACCTGAGACTCAGGTGATTTATAAGGACAGAGCTACCTGAAGCTCTGGTTCTAGACAGCTAGACCTTGGCGCCAGCACCTGATTGGCTTCTGCTGATGCCTATGAGCAGGGAAGGGAGGGGTTCACCTGGAGACCGTAAGACGAGAAAGCAAGCAGGATAGCCAGTGAGAAGGCCCAGCTCTCTTTGTAACAACTGGTTCTCCTGGAAAATTGGTCAGTGCCCTGAAAGTAAGAACTCACTCCCATAAGAGAGACGGTGAGCATGCTTTTATTTTACTGATTGTTCATTAATTTATGCATGCAGTGCTGCAATTTGAACCCATGATTTTCGCACTGAACCACATCCATACCCCTTTTTAATTTTTTACAATTTTGAGACAAGGTCTCATTAAGTTGCTACATTGCTCAGGTTGGGCTTGAATTCTTCCTCTAGCCTCAGCCTCCCAGAGTGCTGCAATTACAGGCATGCACCATTATGCTGGCCTTCTTAATGAGCTAATCACCTCTCAAAGGCCCCTCCACCTCTCAACATGTACGTGGGGGATCACATTCTAATTTGAGCTGCAGTGAGGGTTCTTTAACTATAGAAAACCTGAGTTAAAGAAGCAATTGACCTTAGTGGTCTTCAGCATAGGCCTCAAAGTATATTGAAGTGTTCATTTGACTTTCCAAGGTATTTCAAATTATATTTGATGTCCCAAATTTACATCTGCTCCTTTCACTGCTTTCCCCCAATTTGATGTTCTTCCATGTCTCAGTAAGTATTTTTAATACCCATTCTGTTGTCTAAGAGTAGCCCATGGCAATGACCTCTTCCCCACATACTATATATAATCTAACGTGTTTCTCGCTAAGGAAAGGCTGAAAACTTGTCTGGCACAGGCCCTGCGAATGCTTTCTGTGAAGGAACAGACAGTAAATATTTTAGGCTTTGCAGGTCTCTGTTGTACCTACTCAAATCTGCCTTAGTCATATAAGAGTGACCACAGGGAATAAGCAAATGGGCGAGTTTGTGTTCTAATAAAACTTTGTTTACAAAACCAGACTGGATATGGCCCAATTACCAACTAATTTCTAGGGGCTGGGCACATTATAGCTCAAACAGTCATAGTCCCGTAAGCAAGAAGACAGATGGGAACGGCTCCTGGCGGCTGTGCACAGTGGAATTCACTTCTCAGCGATAGGAACTGCCCCTTCCTGTTAGTAACAACTGTAAACTATGGGAGCTGTTTGCTGAATTATGGTAGCTGTACTTTTGATCTGTAATTCAGGGTTCAGTTGAATTATTTTTCCCCCGGCTATTGCTAGTGTGATGGTTAAGTTTGTTGACTTGATTGATGAGAAATGTCTACAGATTAGCAAAGCTTACTTCTGGGTATGTCTGGATGGGCACAACCGTGGGTCTGTATCTGCTCCCTGGCCCCTTCCTCTCTGACGCTTCTCCAGGGCTGTGTTGTTTGGTCTCCATGAAGTGAGCAGCCTTGCTCTGCCATGACCTTCTACCCTGACCTTCCTGCTTCGGAGCCAGTGACTTTGGACTGAAGCTGTGAGTCAAATTAAACCTCTTGTCATTTAAATCGTGAGTGGCAGGTATTTTGTTCTCGCAATAGGAAAGCTGTTCAATACAGCTAGTTAAAGACTAATCACTCTGGCCAGTGCTTTTGGTAAAGGGGCCCACAAGCGCCAAATTATCTAACTACTAAACTGATGCTCTGGCTCTTGAAGCTTGAGGAAAGGGAAAGTAGACTGCAATAGCTGGAGGCAGTGGAGGCCAGAGCACCTGCACTGGGGTGTATGTTAATTTGTTTGGAAATATTTATCTATGCATACATAGGCAGTGCACTTGATGAGTAACTATATTTGTGCTGCGCTTACACGCTTTTTTTCTGCCTTTAATGCAATCAGTGCACATTATAGAGGCATGAATATGCAAATGTTGAATAAAGCTTGAATTTTTTAATTAAAAAAGCTAAATCAGGGGAATTATAAGCCCCAATTTAACTTTTTAAATATGAAATGAAACACTCTTCCTTATTCCCATTCATCACCATGGATTTTGTTGATATTCAGCATTGAACTTGATTATTGTACCTTGGTCTGTTTTTAAAGGAGTTGCTTGGGTTTTGGTGAGGTCAAGAAAGCTGGAGGGTCAGGGAGGAGAGGAAGAGGGGAAAGAAAACGTCTAAAGAATGACTTTTCCTGTCCTAGTGGTGTCGCCCACACACAAAGCAGCTCATTGCTTGTGAAACTGTAAAGGGTATCAGCATATAAATGCTGTACTCTGTTGGGAATTAAATTTCCAAAAGGAAGCATTTTCCCCACTCAATTTTCTCTTAATTCAGAAAAAATTACTTTTAAATTGATGTAACACAGCAGCTCATAACAGTTGCATTATTCTCCCCCAGGAATAAACGCGGCCTTCTCTCCACTCTTTTCAACGTGGTAAACAAATGCTCTCTTTTCAGGCATGACTTCCCGAAGAGGAAAGTGAGCCTGTCTACTGGCTTGGGATTAAAGAGTCTGCACTGCAATCAGCTGATTATTTATTAAACACTTCCTCATGTGGGATTCACTGCTGTCCGTAATTAAATTACAAAGACCTAGGCCAGGCTCTTTGGAGTTCAGCATCTTCCATCGTTTAAGCAGCTGGGTGATCTTGGCCCATGGCTGGCCATGATATCAAAAGTAATTATACCTTATAATTATGCGGCACTTTATTCAAAGTACTTTTGCCTATGTGTCCTTGGGGAATTTAACACCTACCTCTGGCCTTAGTGGGAGAACGGCTTAGGTAAATTCCGAGGCTCTTATGGAGATACTGCTATGAGTTTTATACAGTATGGAAGTAGGAGGAAAAGAGAGGGCTAGACCAAGGATAACTGTACCAAATTTCACCAGAATTCATATGCTAGTATGAACAAGAACTAGAAAACCTAGTATGCAGTGGCAAAACAATACTTGGTCCATGCTCCCCAGTGAGGGCCCAGTATTTATAAAGCTTTGCATTTAGATTTCCTGGACTGATCACTTTATAAAGGAAGTTCTTCCCACAGTTTATCTTATCCTTAATATTTTACACCAATTACTATCCTCATAACTCAAGCCCTGTGATCTAGAATTCTTTTCCAAAGAATATGAAATTCTTCAAAGGCTGAGGCCTTTCCTGCTATGACGTTGGACATAGCAAGTGTTCAAGAAGTGCCTCAATGTCTAAATTACCGTTAAATTTATACTTACAGAAAAATTTAAATTCATGTATTTATTCTCTTGTCTTTTAATGCCCAATTTCAACTAACTGTTGTTTTTGTTTTATACCTAGGTGAGGAAAACACTTATATTTTTAATTTTTTAAATGTATGTTTACTTTGGAATAATTCTAGATTGATGGCAAAGTTGCAAAGATAACAGCTGTGACCCAGGGGTATTAACATCTTACATTACCACAGTAGATCTGTCTAATCGAAGAAGTCCATGTTGATATCTTCCTATTAACTAAAGTCCAGACTTACTTGGATTTTACCACTTTTAGGAAAATAATTTTAAATCCCAAGTTTCTGAGTTTGTGTAGGGAAATCAGCTCAGCTGCTTCCAATTCTATGGCCTTGAGCTTGGGGGGGGTCAATGTTATTGAGCCACAATATGACATATTAGGAAGAAATTTTAGGGTCTCCATGGAGGGCTAATTTTTTATAAATCCTCATTTTTATAAGTGAGCCAGACAAACTCTTTGGAGAACCTAAATTATGCGAAGCCAACATAGTTTTCAGTTGCAGCCCATGCTCTGCTCAAACAACTCTGAATAGTAGGTGCTTTGGTCTTGGGTTCTCATTTCTCGGTGAGAAAGAATCCTTGCATGCACAAGCACACACTCATGCTGTGTTGAAATGAAAAGCCCCTTACATGGCCATGTGCAGAAAGATCCCAATTCTCACAGTCCTTTTAATCTAGGTCAGGAAAAAATCTGTAGCATCAGGCAGTGCCGAACAGCCAAGGGGGGCTTGTGAGGACAGTGTGGTTGAGGTCTTTTTCCAACTGGAAACATGACATCAGCACGAGTCATCCTGGAAACTCTTTGGGTTTCCTGGGAATAGGTGTTTCATTTGGGCTGGCTGTGTGGATATGGGTTAATCCCAGGTGCGTGTAAGGTGGTGTGACTCTGCATGTCAACACAGTGAGGGGCACAGGAGACGGTCTGTCAACACGCATCACCATTAGTCTGTCTATGGCTGAGGCTTTTGAGTCATCTGATGGAGAATCAGGGCAACCAGAACACATTTCTCTCTCACAGTACAGATGGATACCAGGAAACCGAGCAGATGCATTGAAGCTAATCAGGCAGAGGCACAGCAGGGTAACTACAAGCTAGAATTCACATGCCTTCGTGAACCTTAATTAAAGAGCTGGGAGCCTCCTTTGGTTTTATCTGTTGCCAGTGTTTGGTCTCCTGTTGTGACAGTTTTTTTTAAGTAACCATCAATTTACAGTGATAATCT